GGGAAAAGGTATAGGGAACAATAAGGCTAAAGTCAGTCGTTGCTCAGACAAGCGACCAACTGAATTTATCTCAAAAGTCTCTACGATGGAGCACATGTGTAGATTATAGGTAATGGAAGTAACAGCTTATTAACAGATGGGTTCTTTGCAACGTATGATTAGCTAATTTCATAGAAGATTGTTTAAACGCTTGCAATAAGATGTGAACAGTTGGCTGTTACCTCAGCAGAGCAAAAGAAACTGATCGCGGTACTGGGATGGAAAATCGCTGAACTGGAGTTGCAGATTAGTGAATTAGGTAACCCCACTCCGAAACCTGTTATAAGACTATAGGTCTCTAACAGAAATGCCACAGTCCAATGAAAGACAATCACCGGCAGTGAAGACAGGCAGGTTGAGCGGTCTCCCAAGTCTCACAAAATGCTACAAAGCATGCAGAGTTGCGCACAGATTGCACGATCACCTTCGTCATTAGCAGGGCAACATGACTCCTATAGATAGTGCAACTAACAACGTTGCAGGTAAACAGCCTTGTTGTAGCGTTGGCCTGTTTTCCTCGGGGGAAAAGTTGAACCGTCCCACACGATAAAACTCCGCTCACTAGGAACCGCAGAACAAACACTTACTATGCAACCAAAGGTGTTGACTGGGTTAGGTTTAAATGTCCCAGAACTCACCAGTGAATCGTTAAAAGGTAGACAAACCGAAGAACAACACCGCTTGGCTGAGATAACCTGTATACTAGGACTGAAATTTCTCCCAAATAGTATTACTCGACTTTCACGTAATCCGTCATATCCGCAACTAGGAGAATCTTGGTTACTGCGAGCAACATTTGGCAGCACACGAGACCTGGAAGATGTTCTCTTAGAAAGCCATATTCTAGTGAACTCTTTTCTCAGTGCCCACATTTTTCCGGACTAGTCATGGGCAGAAACGAAGAAACGGAAATCTGACCCGAACGTTTCACGTCAAAATAACACGAAGAAACTGGCACTGATTCATGATGTGCCAGAAGGGAAGCATAACGATAGCAGTGAACAGCTAAAGCATGACATCGAAGAGTGCATGTACGTCACGGAGCTCTATAAACTGAAAACGGTCGTCGCATTTGACGTCACCCGTCTAGTTGCCTCCCCAAACTACCACGGCAGAGGGACGAAAATCTGGAAGGTTACCTTGGATGGGCACCAGCTGGTATCAATGGCAATCCAAGCGTAAGATAACAGGAAACTTGGGCATCTAGAGGCACGCTCGAGACCATTCTTTCAATCAATACACACCCCAGTTACAGATGGGTCAGCGGCGATTGTTCCTACCTCAGACCAGCCAAATGTAAAAACACCCGTTTTAACAAGACCAGCAGGGTGGCACTGTTTGTGGCGGCCACACACTGCGAACCGAGCTCTTACTACGTCAACGAATACAGTGTTGCTGCACGAACGTTCAATGCCTCTACTCTAAGCTGCCGGAAGTGCGCCATAGAAGTGAAACAACGACTTGGCTCCCAAAGGACTTTAAATCCGGAGATTGAACTTAGTGAGATGCCAATCATTCGGAATGATCGTCCGTCTCGCGGGGGCGGTGTTGTCATCTACTATCAAGATTACCTTAAATGTGAGGCCCTTACAGAATATTCCCTTGTTATTCCCGACACATTCTTTTGCCGACTGCAGCTAGCAGGACAGGATGGTGGATCAGAGAAGAAGACGTATGATTCTTGCCTCTTTGCAGTTGTCTACTGGCCACCTAACTCCTCCGCAGACAGTGATGAAATTCAGTTAAACGCACTCCATTGTGCTGTTTCAAAAAAGTATTATCATTTCCTTATAATGGACGACATCAAAGTACTTTTAATGGTCTCAGTGCCCCCTAATGAGCCATCATTTAAATCAAAACTTGAATTTATGCACCTAGCAGTTTGACATAGCCATGTGCATCGCCTAACCAGACACCGTGGTTCAAACAAGCCATCATTACTGAACCTAGTCCTAACACATAAAGTGTTGATATTTGAGTCAGTCACACACGACCCCCCACTAGGCAGTAACGACCATTCGGTCCTACCGTTTGGTTTTGTGTTAAGCCAGTATGGTTATTAAAGAGCGCGAAACCCAACGAGCTAGGACTGATTATTCCAATCTTCACAACCTAGCGACGGCCGTTAACTGGGAGCTACAAACTCACAGTTCGGCGAACGACGCTTGGAATGAATTGAAAAGTAAAGTTAACTGGGTTATACGAACAGCGTCCAAACTTGTACCATTACGGGTATTTCACCAGACCAACAGTTGATCCAAAGTGGAACACATAAATTGATCAACAGAAGAGATGGGGGGAACATACGCTAAGCTCATTGGATACTACATGGCAGTTACAAAACAATCAGAAACTACTCCACGTCACTTATTTGAGCAGATACGTAGGAATGGCAGGGGACTATGGTATTCAATTTTGCGATGAACAACAAAAGGCTCTACAGATTTGTTGACGGCGGAAGAAAGGTTCAACTTGGAATACCACCACTGAAGACAGCCAGTGACTTGTCGACTAATGTTGTGGATTCCGCTAACGATCTATTCCTGCGGTTTGACTCAGTGGTAGTAAATACCATGGAACCTTTATTCTATCAACTCCCGATAAATGTCCTTGACTTATCTAATGCCAATTTTTAATCTAACGGCTGTCGTAAGCAAATTACAGTCTCTCCAGGAAAACGGCGCCTCTGGGATCAACAAGATCTACCCCAAGTTCTTAAAACTTTTATCTCCGCCATAGCAGCACATCTTGCAGCGTTTTTCCCGGGTTTGTTTGGCTTCCATCTGTGTGGAAACATGGAATCATTGCTCTGAAATACCATGAAGGTAAGAGATCGGATCCTGCCAACTTCCGACCTATTACTAGCCTACCAGTTTTATCAAAACTGATGGAATCGGTAATCGCAGAGGAACTGACGCGATATTTCAAAAGTCTGCAAATAATTTCCAATATCCAACTTGATTTCAGATGCAGACGATCTTGCCTCACCAATATGCTCCTTGTCCGGGAATCATGAACCAGAGCAGCTGATGAAGGAGTTCCCATAGATGTGGTTTACCTAGATTTTTCCAAAGCATTCGACAGGGTCAACCACTTTGTTCTCCCCCAACTGCTTGCTTCCTACGGTATCAACGTTCCCTGCTCGCCTGGTTGGAAGATTACCTACAAGATAGAACCACCGATGTAAGAACAGCCGACACTTACTCGAAAACCTGTGCGTAGCCACTGCTTTTAGTTTACATAAATGACTTCCCAGAAAACATTTCATCCTCAATGCGGATAGTGCAGATGATGCCAAAATATGGAGAACAATTCGCTCGGTATCCGACCGTGTCTATCTTCAGAACGATCTGGACGGAATTAACGAATTGGCAGGAAGAAACCAGCTCTCTCTGAATTCTGCAAAGTGCCACCTGATGACGGTGCGTAGCAGCCTCAGCAACACATATCTTCTGGAACAGCACGTTTTACAACAGGTGACTAGTGAACGAGACTTAGGTATCATCGTACAAGATGGTCTTATCAATTCGCTCCAATGCTCGAAAGCAGCGAAGGTGGCGAACTTAACATGAGGTTTCTGAAGCGCACTCGCGGCACCTTTGAGCGACGGCTATTACCACCGTTGATCAACACAACTTCGTCCACATGTTGGATATGCGGTTCAAGCCTGGCGCCCATGGTTAAAAGGAGATCTTCCTCTTTTGGAACAACCCAAAAGAAGCGCCATCAAGGCGATTCGGTTCACGGTTAAGAACTGCACCTTCGTTTACTCGGTGCGTTCTCCTTAGAATACCGACGGATTCGCGGGAATCTCATCCTCACAAACCGGATACTACCTAAAAACGAGCACCTATGTACGTCACTTCTTACCCTAGCTTCCTACAGACACGGAGGCAACATTCCCGTTTGGATTGTAGGAAGCATTTTCGTTCTCTTAGAATCTGTTCCCACGGGAATACACTACCAACACGTGGTGAACGCACCAGACATCGCGACATTCGAAGAACTTATAGTCTTTCATCTTAGTGTTAAATGCTACACAACAGTGTGATGAAGTGCAATGTATTTACTAAAGATAAGTTACGTTCCACGTTGGCACAGTTTTGCTTTTCATTTTCTCTTGCATTTTCCGTCCTGTGGGCCTTATAAACTTGTACTTTTTATCTCCCTTTACACTATTGAACTATTGATCCTTGTCACCTCTAAGTTGTTTACCTTTATTGCTTCTTGAACTGACTGGTGTTCCTGAAAGCCAGGTTCTTGAAAAGCAAGCCGGATTTTGTCGATATTGAGCCTTCATCGACCATATCTTTACATTACATCGGTTTTCGGAGCACCAGCAGGCGTTTTGGCGACCTACCGCAGTTGTGTTCCTCAACATCAAATGTGCCTTTCGCTGCGTATCGGTGTGCCCTATGGTACTGTTTGATACTGTTTGCTCAAGAATGCTGTATACAAAAGTACGCAAACATCAAAGCGCTTCACGCGCGTACTTGGGGATGGTGAAGGCCTATGCCGAACCATCGCCACCCTGCAGTATTTCCAGCGGGGTAAGACCGGAATAAGCGCTATCACCTTTACTTTTTAACTTCGCAGCCGACGAAATCATGGAACCTATGTTTACTTGGCACGACCTTCATGGTTACTTAGTTTTAATGAAGATGGAGTATAGTGATAAAGGGTACACACTGTTGCAGTCACTAATTCACACCCACAGTTAAACCATCCCGCAACCAAACAATGGTTATCTATGATTAGTGCTAAGGAAATCCTTCTTCAAAACACCTAGAAATTAGCTCGGAGGTCAATCTGTATGAGACGTAACTGTCATGAAATTTACACCTGATCTGTCCAATTTCGAAATGCGACGGGAATGTCATCTACTCCTGGGGTTATAAGGAAGCCCGATGGTGCGCTTTTTAATTACCCCTCCTTATTTAACTGCTATTGTCTTTTTTCAGACGAACTATTATGTTGTGGGAGAAAAAAGTGCAGTTGTGCGAAGAGACTCGCCACGCGGTAGATTGTGATCTTGGACAGGGCGAATTGAATGTGATGCGAAGTGAAATACACCGGATGGAGGTGCGAAAAAATTCTCTTTTACAACAACAAGAAAAGCTACTTCAGGCTCTGGAACGGTCCGTGGCCAAGTGAGGCACCGCTTTGTATACGAATGTGGACCACCGACTGCTTACTGACGATGGGGCCATACACTAACTGAGAGTTTCATGTTACTCTTGTAGGCGAGATACGATTGTGCTCCAGTCAGAGTCAGTCCGGACGCAGCAAAGTAAGGCTAAAATTCGCATCAACGCACAACGCCAGCTGGAGGAGCTGAAGAAGAGACTAAAGACCACAAAGCAGGTACCGTTGCCAAAAGATTTTGAGAAACCTTGTCACCTGTATCAGCTTCATCCATCAAAATTTGGTTTGGATTCATTTAATAGAGCAATCAAAGTAGGTTACCTATAGACAGAAAGTGTCACTTCCTGTCAGAATTAGTTATTTACTTAAGTCGGATTACGTCAACCCAAACGCTCAACTCTCAACACCTGCCTATTTGTACAGTTTTTAGTCTCATCCTGGTATACTCAAAATCCCGTTTTTGCTAGTGAATGTACATGAAACAGAGCATTTGAAACTTGGCAATACACTGGAAGTGAGGTGACCGATTTAAAAGGTTACGAATTTCACAAAAATTTACGAATTTTTCGGAATATTTACTTCTACTTTCATGTATATTTAATGATAGTATATTTCCGCCTAAATTAAGACGGTGGTGGATAGCAATGGACTTTGTCTACAAGATCCAGAGTATGCGGATAAACTCGGTGGCTTTTTCTCGAATCCACATCATACTGCTGTAATCAAAGCTCACTTGCTATCAACATTAAACTGACTAGTATGAAAACCGCAGTGATCGGAACCAACTTGGACAGATAGCTTTAGCTCCTCTATCCAAGTGTGCTGTGGCTATGAGCTTTACGCGTATGCAAATGAACCCTTTGGCCACCTTAGTAAGTCGATTGTTTCTTTGATATCTAGCGTCTTGCAAAATAACTTGACTTTTTGTGCTTATGGTTTTTGTAATTACATGCCTAGCCACTGTATGCGAACTAGGTCATGCACTCTTGTGACGTTTCGTAGGCGCCTTAACGCCGCATATCATTTAAGCACATACAGCGCTTCATAATCGCATCTCGTTTAGGCATCAGACTCACTGCCTCGTTCTTAGTGGCCCGCACGCCAGTTGAAAGCTTGTAAGTGAATCCACCCTTCCTTCTATATGAAAAGCTGGTTCACTGAACTAACACACCGTTACAGTTAAGTTGCGGAACCGCTTCCTACCCATCCAGCGTAAATCAAAAGTAAACGAACTGGAAGGCACCCCGCTGAAGGATTTTGAGCCAGCTTCTACCAGCATATCTTCCATTACATATATCTGAAACTGGAGGAACCCCATATATCTGACTTATACTAATCGATGACTGGGTGCTATCCAACCCCATGTTGAAAACAATCTTTGAACCCCATGTCACCACAGAGATTACGCATCCCATCACAGATAGAATGAGAGGTCTCCCGCAGTCAGCACTCGAGTTTGCAGGCACTTTGTTAACTGTCGCGTTGAGCGTGCTCGTACTGAACATAGCGATTGAGTCCAAACGTCAAGCGTGCTACAACACACGATTGTCCGTACAAGCATGACCTAACTGCAACGATGAAGCATCACATATGCATCACATCAGTCGCGATATTGGCATGGAATTGCTGATGAAGCTCACACCCGTTGACCCAACCTAACCATAGACTATCAGCAATGCGCCTCTTCTTGATCACTTTGAAGACTTACTAGGCAGGCTAGACTGAAGTGCACATTACCGCGTGCAGTATGTGACCTTTTAGTTTGTGTCGAAGGACGGGCATTCAGCTATATCGATCACTTCGCATGAGATGCTTTTGCACCTGAAGCAATAGCACTTTTTCGTAAAACTAGACGACAAACTTCTTGACGTGACCACGTCACTGTTGACTGTCGAGCACCATTACTTTCCAATTTCGGAATTAACAAGACCTAGCGGTAAAACAAACTTTATTGTGTCCCGACATCACGGCATCTGTCTCCGTGCCTTACTTTTGCTTGCGCTCGAACGGCCATACGACAAATGTTACGGCATGTCTACAGGAACTGTTGTATGGGCAGAAACAATCACATTTAAGGCGCTGCGGAACTGTACCAATTCCATACAGTGCTTGCCACTGCTGCGCATCTCTTTGGTATGCTGAACTCGGTGACATCAACGGATGTACAAGAGCCACTTTAAGCAGCTTTGATGAAATCCCTCCAAATAACAGATGCCACTATTGGATAATGGTCGGTTTTCTTGCTGTAGAAAAGGACCGATATCGTGGTCCCTGCAGTCAAGTGACGATTCTTCCACGTCAGACATCCCAGTTTGTTGAACACTTCTATCACCCTCGGTATGTACTTTTGCACCTTACAGGTTATCCACAGATATACTGTCAGCGTACGCCTGATGGAATGAAATCCGGAATTGCCCTGTAACTCTTTTTGTATCAACCCGTGTTTACGGGAGTTGGTGATTGCGGCCTGGCCTTGTTGACGCCGAGTGTAGGCGGAAAAATTACCATGCCGATTCACAAGATGGATATTTGAGTTCCCACCAACTCTTTGCTTACCCATTCTACGTTCCGTAATAACATGCCCTTCCAACATGTTTAGCGACATCCGGTTCCGGATTTGCCTGTCACTGTGGCCTCCATAGGACAGCTACGGGACACCTGCGCCTACCAAGGGACCATGAGTGGCTTGCGCTGAACCACAAACATCTCCATCCACATAGCCCATATACAGTGTAAACCAGAAGTAATAAGACCGGGAGGCATGTGGATGGGAGCCACTTTTCATTAACGGAACCGGCCCACATTCCTACAACATGCACAGCACCAGCATTCCTGTCTATCTATGTAGGGAATCATGCGTACCAGACGCACACAAGGCGGTGGCTGGGATGTAGTCCACTCCACTCTAAGTGGAGCTACTCCTTGAGCCTAACAGGGCCACGAGGACCGCGCACTCCGTTCCCCTAGCAACGATTCATAGTCTTCTGGAGCCAGTAATCGAGGTGGAGGGTATTAGATAGGTGGACACCTTGTCAACACGCACATTAAGCACAGCCACACCAGAGATATCGAAAAACCAAAATAGAATTTATGGGAAAGCAAACACGCAAAATTGACGCAGAATATGCAGCAAAATAATAGAATTCAACACACCAAGTAAAGTGTAATGACTTTTATCCAGATTAAAAAGACATAGTTTAAGTTTAAGTTGATTTAGCCCAACTGCGGTGAAGAAGCATCACGACTGCAACCTCAACAGGATGAGACACATAATTGTTACGTAATTCGCAACATGAATAACAAGATTTAAATCTTGACTCCTATCACCTATTCGCTCATCCACTCTATCCATCGCAATGAGCCTGGACCTTACCGCGGTGCAATGGTTTGTGTGCCTCAGCTATCCATTGTGCTATGTTGAGTGGTGCTTTTGCACCATCAGAGTCACTCATACCAGATTGGTCAATGGTTAGAGGCCAGACAAACTCAGCCTCCTGGTCCTCCCGATTGGGGGTTAGAATGAGGGTTGCACCTTATTCCTTAAAACGGACTCCTTGTAGCCCAACACCAAACCCGCTGCCTTGCCGTCAGGTTTTTGAACCAAAGACTTTGGTTGAGAAACCTAATCGCTCTCCTGTCTAAACCTGGGCAACCTGACACTATCCTGCCCACGCAATGCTACGAATTATTCGGCAAACAATTTTTTGATCCTCTGGCCACCGCAGAGGATAATCAACGGTGCCCTATCTGCTGCATCGAATAGGGTGGATAGGGATTTGGATGCTACTGCTCAAACCTTCCTGTCTTCTTATTCCCCCTCTTATGCTTTTTCACCCTTACCGTCCCGTTCCAACTTCACTTATATCCCCCAGTTTTCAACCCTCCGATTCTTGGCCCCCCAACATGCTTTGCTAGGCATTTATCTTCTAATTTCAACTCACATGTGAACGCGGAGCGTCATTCCTGTCCTGTCGACAAGCCCATGTCCTTTCCAGTTCATCGGCTTGCGTTTGGAGCCTTCGATCCTCCTTCAGATTGGCATGTCTCAATGTACGCACATTACTACAGATCGATCAACAGGCGGCACTTGCCCGAACATTGGGGAACCTCTCGATCGATATCTGCTGCTTATCAGAGACCCGCCTGCAAGACCCGAGCTCTGTACTCACTCTGCGATCCTCTTCAGGTGACGCAAGCAGTAGTTTCTCATTACGCCTATCTGGTGACGAGGCAGCTTCAAGCACCGGCCAAGCCGGTGTTGGTATTGCTCTGAGTCCCCAGGTTGAAGCTGCTCTGGTTGTTTGGATTCCAATCAGTAGCCGGATGTGTGCGGTCCGATTGGTTGGGTCGTTCAAAGCTTCGAAGTCGCGCAGGACTAATAGGTGTCTATTTATCATCGCTGCATACGCACCCACAAACTGTAGCGATGATTCAGTAAAAAACGACTTTTACCGCCAACTGACCCAGCCCCTTTGCCACAGAAGAAGCACGGACACTGTTGTGCTGACGGGGGATCTGAAGGCACAAGTTGGAAAGTTGTCCCCTGATGAAATGCATCTGGGCGGTCAACACGGTGCAGGTTCCCGTAATGATAACGGTGAGCGGTTATTTCATTTGTGTGAGGATGCCCCCTTATTTCTTGCGAGCACTAACTTACGACGCAGCACTCTCCGGAGGGTGACTTGGCGCCCACCAGCCTCGAACCAGCTGTGGACGCAGATCGATCACATTGCGATAAGTTACCGCTGGAGAGGCTGCATCCAGAACTGTCGCTCGATTAGGAGCACATGTGTGGACACCGATCATGCACTTGGATGTGCCGACATGCGGATGCGTTTTGGCGGACGCCCACGACGACGCTGTGAGCGCATTGACACCAGTCAACTGACAAAGCCAACTGTTCTGAATGCGTATCGAAGTACGCTGACATGTGAGTTTAGTAAGCGCTCACTGGGGACAATTGATGGTCACTGCTCACATGTTCGCCCGACCTTACTAACAGCAGGCAAATCCCCATGTGGTATGTCTAATAGCCAACATGGATACTGGGTCTCTTTTTGCGGTCTCTGGAACTTATCGACGCTCGCCGGCATATCCCGGCTGGAAGCGAACACAATGAAACTCGCAAAGAGCTCCGGGCAAGAATCCGTGCTAGCCTGAAGAGAGACCGCGAATCTTGGTGGTCTCCTCGTGCGTCAAAGATGGAAGTGGCCGCTGCGCTTGGTAACCATCGTAAGTTATTCCGTCCGATACGGGAAACGGGCAGAAGGAGACCTGGTGTTAGTGAAACTATACGTGACGAGAGTGGACAGCCTATCCACAGTTTGTCAAAACGTTTGGAGCGTTTGGCTGGGCATTCTGAAAAGCAATTTAATCGGTTAGAATTGTTCGGTTCTTCGCCGGCTAGTGATCGCCCTGCTCCATTGGCTGTCCCTTTGGATCCGCCCTCTCGCTCAGAAGTCGAATGTGAGATCGGACTGTTGAAGTTGAACAAAGCCGCGGGACCAGATGACCTTCCTCCAGCCCTCTACAAATTCGGAGGCTCTACTCTTGTTGATGCTTTACATGAATTACTGGTGAAACTGTGAGGGCAGGAGACTGTCCCAACCGACTGAAGCCGCTCCGTTGTTGTTTCCATCTTCAAAGGAGGCTCGCGTTCGGAATGCGGCAACCATAGAGGAATCAGTCTGATCTCCATCGCCCCCATAATTCTTCACAGACTGACTGGCGCTCGTGAAAGCCAGATTCGTGGGGAGCAAGCCGGGTTTCGTCGGGGTCGTGGCTGCATCGACCACATCTTCACGTTGCGTCAGTAGTTGGAGCACCGTCACACATATTGGCGGCCCACCGTAGTCGTTTTTCTCGACATCAAAGGTGCCTTCGATTTGTTTGATCGATGTGCCCTTTGGATTTTTCTACTCAGGAAAGGTGTGTCCGAGAAATATGCAAATATTATCCGAGCATTATACGCGCGTAGCACCGGCAGAGTGAGGGCTTACGGCAAGCTGTCGCCACCCTTTAATATCTCCAGCGGTGTGAGACAAGGATGCCCGCTGTCACCTTTCCTTTTCAACTTCGCTATTGACGAAGTTATGGAGATTGCATTTACAGGACATGACTTGGAAGGCGTGGAACTACTCCCTGGAGAACGACTTATTGACTTGGAGTATGCAGACAACATTGCCCTCATGTGTAACAGCTCCCAGACGTGCCAAGTCGCGCTGGACAGATTAGCACTGGCTGTCAGCCGCTTCGGGCTTTGCTTTGCACCATCGAAATGCAAAGCGTTCCTCCAAGATTGGTAGGGATCGCCTCCTGCGCTGACCGTTGGTGGGGATCAGCTGGAAGTCGTTCGGAAATTCAACTACCTGAGAAGTTGTATCAGCGCCCGTGGGATTGAAGATGAGATCACGAACCGTATAACAAAAGTTGGAAATGCTTTTACTAACCTTCGCCACCTATGGCGGGGGCGCGACAGTACTCTCGCCCTGAAGGGTAGAGTGTACAATACAGCGGTACGTTCGACCGTACTGTACGGTTGCGAAACCTGGCCCCTAAGATCAGCAGACATGAAGAGGCTAGTTACCTTCGACCATCGGTGCCTTCACAGTTTGGCTCACACCTGGTGGGAACATAGCATGAGCAACGAGCATGTTTGACGCCTTGTTGATGGCACTGGAAGAGGAACTGAGCCGCTCAGCACCTTCATTTCACGCACCAGTCTCCGATGGCTGGGCCATGTGTTGCGCATGCCAGCCCTCCGGCTTCCACGACGTGTTTTGTTTGGGCGCCGGGGTTGTGGATGAAAGAAGAGGAGGGATGGCCAAGCGATGACTTGGTCGAGAGGAATGAAGGCCCTCACTTCGGTGCTGGCCTCGGTTGGAGCGTCACGGCCCCCCGATTGGGGTCCAAAAGACGGTGAACGCGTTTGGCTAGATACACCTGCTGACATGGCAAGGAGCCGACCTCAGTGGCGTTCCGGCTGTGAGTTTCTTTGTCCCTCCTCATCCCTTTTAGTCTCCCCCTCCACCCACTATCTCATTTCGTAACGTAAAGCACAATAATTCTTCTTTTTGCCTAGAAGTCAGCTGGTATCTTACCGGAACGATGCCTATCCGTTGCTGATAGCTCAGCTGGCATGCAACTGTTGTATTTATTTTCCTTTTCCTTTATGTATTGCGGCACAGTAGCTGAGGTGTTTCCCACCTCTGGCTGACGTGTATAATGATGATCACCCACTATGGATCATGGCTACGTTACATGCCAAACGACGTAAGTATTGGGTACTTAGCAAGACTCAAGTCGAGATCTCACTTTGAATGACCAAGGCAGATGCCTGCTCCAGTTGATAAACGCCGGTTTGCTGATTATCTCTCATGTAATGTCATATCGATGTTGCCATGGTTTCACTTCACCTCTCTTGGTGGAAACGATTCACTCACACTGTGCAACCCTTCTATACCATTTTCCATTGAAGTTGGACATTCGGGCAAAACATTTACGCCTGGGGGTCAACGGGGTTGCTCCTCCGGGGCAATCAAGTTGAGTCTTCGCTATGCGGAATAGAACCACTCACTGGCATGGTTGGGGCTGTTTCATTGGCCAAGTGCCTTCAGCAAATAGGAACTCAGACGCTTGGCCAATGAAACAGCCCCTACCATACCAGTGAGTGGTTCTATTCCCCATAGCGAAGACTCAACTTGATTGCCCCGGAGGAGCAACCCCGTTGACCCCCAGGCGTAAATGTTTTGCCCGAATGTCCAACTTCAAAGGAAAATGGTATAGACCACCCCAACACATACCACAGGCTTGAATCATCCTCCCGCGCCAGCAGCACGTCTACGAGTTCCTCCCACCCCCACTGTTTGACTGAGACTTGCCACCCCACGAGCACAACCCATCGCGTTCCCTTTCATAGCTGTATAGCGAACCAATGCGCCAAGGGTTAACGGACCTAATAAAAGAAAGGTCAAAGTCCGATGGTGGACTCGGTACAGTGGCAAGTACCGGCTGCATTCCCTTTGGGCATTGTGAAGGCCGATTGTTTCGCAACTGAACGAGTATTGTCGTAGTTAACCTCTTGGCTTCTTTTCGTGCTTAAACCGAGTTTTACGTGTCAGTGGAGCCCCAAGCTAGTTTGTCTCTTACACTGAGTCCAAATTTGTCACCACTGAAGCGGTTGCTATCGGCATACGTTACAGCCCATGTTCGACGTGGGCAAACAACAACATCCGGTTGGTTGTCATATATGCCAGGTTTATCCCCTTGCGAAAGCTGAAATGTTGCCAAAATACCAACACACCAAGCGAATTGAATTCGAAAGCTTCCAAACTTATGATTTCTTAGTTCGTCCCAAGTCTATTTCAAGGTAGTGGGTTGCACTATTAACCATATTTCATTAACGTATTGCTTCACAGCTCATCAAGACGTGCGACACGGAGACTAAAGAAATGGAGGCCAAAGTGAAAAGCCTCGAAGAAGAGATCGTGGCAAAGCGTTTAGAATTTGAAGGGGAACAGAAAAGTGTTGACGAACTCTCAGCAAAGCTACAGTCTCTGTTAGAGGAACGTCACAAGGTGAGTGTGGACGTTCATCATGTCCATTCCGCTTTTCTCTTCCGCTGGTGATCAACGAGGCCTCGACACTTAAAAATTACGGATGAAGCAGGACTTATTTGTAAATCTGTGCATCTTACCTAGCGTGTTTGTTAGAAGAATAGCTTGAAACATGTGCTCGAAATGCAAGGTCTCATCAATTCCCACAGTGTGTTTCACTTGTAGAGTAGCCGAGTCATGTCCCACATTTCCCCCACTGGCTACTTAATTCACCATGTATTATCTACAGACACTAGATTCGGTTGCGCGGTGTGTTTCTGTGTGATCCCGTGATGACACAGTGATGAACTACGGCAAAATCGACCGAAGAATTAGATCCGGCTAGTGAACATTAGATTCTTGGACCGGGACTTCTGGACCGGTTACCTTTTCTGCTAGTGACGATTCCGATATGCCTTAGTCGCAAGTTGATGCCGTACTTAAACTCAGTCTACCATATATACTTTTTTGCTTTTTCCCTTGGTAGTTATGCTTTCTCACATCGGTTGTTTAATTGTGTCCCTTTCTTCACCATTATCGCAGCCTTAACTGTCTTAGCAACAGGTTTCTTTGCCTTTCACGGTTGTTCAAATTAAACTTGAATCAGGTGTCCGGTCTAAGTCGTGACCCAAAGGACTAGAGGCCACCACTCGTCCCCCTTCCAGGTGACAGTAACTGATTAACCAGGAATGCGGATACTACAGTAAATCGGGTATCAATTAACTCCTTCAATAAATGGGCGCAACATAGAACTGTCTAGTGACCGGTCATGATTAGATGTTAGTGCTTGATATGCGACGCCTGTCATGCATCGTAACAAAATGTTAAGCTTAGCATTCCAAGTGCTATGTATCAATCAGTTACCACGGATATGTGTAACTGTCCGTCTTATTGCATGAATTTTTTCAATAGCAGGGAAACAACAGACGGCAGTATCATCCGGCCCCATTCGTCTGCTTTGGTATCAAATGGGTTTTTTAGTATTTAGAACAGTTTACCACATGGAAATACTGGTTACGTAGAAGGTAAGCCGCAACTATAAACTCTACCCGTCCAATCACTTTTGAACAAAAGCTTTATCGTCAATGCCCAGCTTCATTATCGACTGCCGTGCTGACTCGGTATCCCGACAGCAATTTAGTGACTGTGGTAAGCCTTGAAACCGTAACTGAAGCACTTGTACGAGAAGGCTACGAAGAGGTTTCTGATAGTGAATTGTGATAGCTCACAGATTTTCCAGGCAGTCGTCACTCAGTTCGCTTTATGTCTTGAAGTACCTATGTTCAGTTGTTGTGTTAATCGTCACCAGAAATAGCCGACAGGTTCGTGTACGGAAAACTGCACTGGCATTGGTGGTTCTCACAATGAAGTCACAACGCAAATACAGCATAGGTGAAGTGTCTTCCCAACAGACCAGATCGATGACGCAAATCGTACCACATCCCTCTTATTAGTGTGCCTTTCTTCTGATTTTTCCATCTACCCTATCTAACCGTTGCAAAGCTTAAACGCCTTTCCAGAAAGATAGCGGCTTCCCATAATTATCTAATGAACTGCTTGTAGGGTGGTCCCTAACGGATCATTTTTACTTGATGACGATACGGTGGGCTACTTACTGCAAGTAAATAGTATGCACATACGAACCGTTCAAGTTAATCGATTGAGAAGACATCGTGAAGAATGGTTAAACGAGCCAGAAAGACAGTGGGCGTGAAACGGGACAACTAAACTTCGGTTACACTAAGATGTACCGCATTAAGGTCGAACACAAAAAGACGCGAGTTATGGGTTTTGCCCGACACCGCGCATTCGACTGCTCAGTGAGTTCCTTGTCGTTACAGAACGTGTATTAATGCAGTGGGATGGGTGTTGTTTTGTGGATGTAACCCGATCACTGTCAACCGGAGGTGCTTTGTGACTGGTCCTCTTCAGCTGTCTATGTTTCAGCTGGGCCGCCATAAAATTGACGTCTCACTGGTGTGTGGCTACTAAATACCCTACGCTAGGATTGTTCGAAAAGAGGTTTAAAGCTACCTGGTAGTCATCTGGTAAAAGTCCTTGTGGAAGTGAGTACAACATATCCGAGTTGTCTTGAGAAAGAGCTACGAGATCGGTCAACGTAGTGGTTGGGACTCTTCCCAGCATGGAAAGAACCTCGTAGACTTTGACGCAGGCCGTGAGATGGATTCATCGTACCTCAGTGACGCAACATGGATGGCCAACAAACAGCATTGTCAGTGTACTATGAGTTTGCGTGCTAGGCTACAAAGGTCAAGTTACTGATTATTCATAACCTGAGATGCTTTACTGCAGTGCATACCATTCATTTCAATGGTTGCTGGCTTCAAAGGCCAAGTGAAAGTGATCATAGAGTCCCATAGATAGTACTTCCGTTGGTTGGCTGTCCACTGTCCTCCATTTCACGGTCTGTAGCGCCTTCGGTCCATACAGTTTGATCGCGATGAGCATACCCCCTTCTCACAAAACGACCTTGTCTCACACGCCAATGAAGTACAGTAATATCGTCAAAACAGTGAGCCACGTCCCGATCAAGGCCAAATGTTCAGCTTTAGTGGCCATCTTCGGTGATGCTAGGAAGGTTATTGAACGTAAACATGGAACAAATCGGCATTCTTATAATAGACGGTTAACTTGTCCAAAGCCGTGTTAAAAAAGGATGTCCGGCAAGCCATGCAAATACGTTTTTTCGGTAATATAATCAAAAAGGTAGACCGTCATTCTGAAGTGATGTAGGCGTGCTGTTGACGTGTCGTTTGCATGGACTACTATTAACAGGCACAACAATGCGAACAATTTGCTTCGGAATGGGGCAACACCAAAGTGTATGTTCCAGGGACCCTGGAAGTGGAGGGAGAGCAGTACAAATAATGGTGCATGGCGATTTCGGAACCAAACCGCAGAATCGAACTGTGCCAGACACTGGAGGCTCCCAGACCGACAAAGCACTAAAATGTCCACCAGCACTCGTGATTCTGTGTGCGTCATGCTTACTTCACTGTGGTGTAGGGAGTTGTCAGTAAACACCACTCTATTTTCATGAGGGAAGTACTTTGCTGGAATTTTCTGCCGACAGAGAATGAACACTAGGTAAGCCGCGTTTTTCCTGACAAGTTCATCACTAGGTGGAGGGGTGCGGTCAGATATTTGTCACCCAAGTTCATGCTATCTACATACTTTGGGAAGAATTTCGGTCCACTACAAGTATACTTGGTAAAAATATCTGTCGACTGGAGGAATGTGAAGGTTCAAATCTCAAATGCAGAAAGACGTTGAACGTTGATGACGGCTGAAACAGTTCACGGCAATCAAGAAAAGTGCAAGTCTGTTGGCTACCTAATACAATTTCAGAGTCGACATTCTGATGTCCAGTTTGGAAGTGGAATTTGTAAGTTACAGTTGTAGATTGCTCACAAAATGCAGCGTTTTAATTAAACTCCTGCACGGGATACTTACTTAAGGATTTGCAGATAAGATTCCCATGTTTTGGAAGCAGGTAGAATGCAGTTTAAGTTAGAAGATTTTGCTTCCTTACGAGCGCCTTCTGTAAAAAAGCACAGACGATGAAACTACATGCTCCAATCTTACCTTTCCTGCTTTTTCGGTTTCAGTACGTATTCGACGTACAAATGAAGCAACATGAAACAGTCTACTGGGAACAAGTGCGTGATGGACGATACAAGCGGCTGTGCCCATCCTCTACGTCACAGGCAGCAGAGACTACTCGACAACTCAACCGAATTCGAACTCTCTTAATGCTAATTGATCGATTGGTGCAAGAATTCCCCCAGGTGAGTTCTGTTGCCATTCTGCTCCTTGCTCGCCGGAAAGGGTTTATTAGCTTAGACACGATCCCGATGCCGGTGGCCACTATAAGGCGGGCTTCCTGAGTGTACGTGATCATTGGTAACTGAGAAACGTTGTTCATATGCGGCGAGAGCATTAAGCTAGCAAGGCTAACATTTACCAGCTGGTTTATGAGCCGATCCTACAGCGTCGCACAGGACGATATGTTGGAGTTAACTTGTCTACACCGACCAGGTCATGACATGTACATACCTTCCAGTTATTTTATCCCAGTAGGCGCACTAGGCCTATCCGCAAACCAGACTCAGTAGCAGTACTCCGATCAGACGCAAGCTCTAATCAGAGCAGACGCACGGCGATCTTGCGTAAGTGCATTCTGTCTGGCGACTCGTCTCTTTACAGGCGTAACCAATCGACAAACGTTTATTCGATTAATTGTGAGCTGGGCGTATCTACGCATGTATGTGCATCATGCTGAGGCTGATGTTGCATTCTTGATGCTTCTTCACCGCAGTTGGGCTAAACCAACTTACACTTAAACTAGGTCTTTCTAAGCTGGCTAAATTTCATTCTACTTTATTTGGTTTGTTTTGCCTATCTGAATTGTCTTCTATTAGCTGGCCACGTTGCTTACGCTAATTGCGCTTATCTTCGGTAACTTTGTTGCGTTTGTAGTATTTTTAAGTAGCATGTAGACATATTTTCCTTATCGCGGATTCGTTGCTAACCAACTTACTTCATATGCTAATTTAGGGAAGTGTTATGCCACCGCATCTGCATGCATTATCCGATTTATTTAATTTCGTCCCGTCGTTTCAAGTGATTGGCTGTTGCTCGATATCCCCGGTGTGGCTGCGCTTGATGTGCATGTTGACAAAGTGCCTACCAGTATATTACCCACCACCTCTCCATACTGGTTCCAGGAGACAGTCGGTCGTTACTGGAGGGGACGGGGTGCACAGTCCTTGTGGCCGTACTGGGCTCGAACAGCCGTTCCATGCACTCAGTATGGAGCGGACTACGGTCCAGCCACCGCTTTGTGTGGGAATAGCTTTCAATGGTTACCAGTGACAGCGGCTACGACCATCTCTGAAACACGAAGAGACCACCAAGATTCGCGGTGTCTCTTCAGGCTACCACGGAGTCTTGCCCGGAGGTCTTTGCGAGTTTCATTGTGTTCGCTTCCAGCCGGGATGTGCCATCGAGCACCGATAAGTTCCAGAGACCGCGAAGAGACCTATTGTCCACATTGGCTGGTAGACTTACCACATGAGAATTTGCCTGCTGCTAGTAAGTTCTGGTGAACATGCGATTAGTGACCTTCAATTGTATCCGGTGAGCGTTTACTCAAATCGTATGGCAGCGTACTTTTATAGACATCCGAACAGCTGGCTTTGTCAGTTGGCTGGTGTCAATGCACTCACAGCGTCGTAGTGTGCGTCCGCCAAAACGCATTCGCATGTTAGCACATACAAGTGCATGGTTGGTGACAACACATGCACTCCAAATCGTGCGGCAATGCTGCATGCAGCTACTCCAGCGGTAACGTATCGCAATGTGATCGATTTGTGTCTATAGCTGGTTCGAGGCTGATGGGCGCCAAGTCACCTTCCGGAGAGTGCTGTGTCGGACGTTAATGCTCGCAAGAAATAAGCGAGCATCTTCACACAAATGAAGTAACCGCTCACCGTTATCATTACGGGAGTCTACACCATGTTGGCCGCCCGGATGTTTTTCATCAGTGGACCAGTTTCTAACTTGAGCGTTCAGACCCCCCGCCAGCACTATCGTGTCCGTGCTTCTTCTGTGGCGAAGGCGCTCGGTAAGCTGGCGGTAGATGTCGTTTTTACCGAATCGTCGCTGCAGTTTGCGAGCGCGGTGGCAGGGATGATGAATAGACAACTATTAGTCCCGCGCGACTTCGAAGCTTTGAACGAGCCAGCCAAACGGACCGCACACATCCGGCTATTGATTGGAATCCAAACAACCTGGGGACTCAGGGCAATACCAACACCGGCTTGGCCGGTACTCGAAGCTGCCTCGTCACCAGATAGGCGCAATGAGAAAGTGCTGCTAGTGTCACTTGTAGGGGATGGCAGATTGAGCACAGAGCTCGAATCTTGCAGGCGGGTCTCCGATAAGCAGTAGATATCGATCGAGAGGGTCTCTAATATTCGGGCAAGTGCTGCCTGTTGATCGATCTGTAGCAATGTGCGTACATTGAGGCATGCCCATCTGAAGGAGGATCGAGGGCTCCAAATGGAAGTCGATGAACTGGAGTGGACCGCTTGGTTGGACATAAGCTTGTCGTCAGGGCAGGAATGACGCTCCGCGTTCACATGTGAGTTGAAACTAGAAGATAAGGGCCTAGCAAAGCTTGTTTGGAGAGGATCAAGAATTGGGGGCTTTAAAACTGGAGGATAGAGGTGAATTTGGAACGGGAACATAAGGGAGAAAAACTGTAAAGGGGAGAATAAGAAGACGGGAAGGTTTGCGCAGTAGCATCCAAAGCCCTATCCACCCAGTTAGATGCAGCAGATTGGTCGCCGTTTATTATCCTCCGAAGCCAGACATCGTGTCTTATGGAATACGATAATTCAACAAGCTCGTTTTTCTGCCTCTGTTATGTTGGCTTTGTCACGTCCTCTGTATGTCAGCCGAGCGCTTGCCCCTTTGCGTCCTTTTCGTTCCTACGGGACTTGGCTGGAAGGGACGACGTGATTGTTAGCCGTTCATCTGCGACCGTATAGGAAATGGTTGGTTCACCTCTTGTCGTCGTTGGATCCACACGTCTGCCTGGTTGAGGACCAAAGGACGAGGAATGCCAATGGCTGAAAACAATTCGGGATATGGCGCGCTAAAGAAACAAGTGAATCTGTGTACATATCTGTTTAGTTTCAGTTGCTTACTGCTTCACAAATGAAAATGGCAAAAACGACAAAATGGTGTGTGAAAAAAACAACTTAAAAGTTCCGGTTCTTTTTGCGGCACATTAGCTCATCTTGAGCTAACCCACCGTACTGGTGCAGTCATTATACCTGTCTTCTTTCAGTGATTGGCATGTTTTGGTTGGCTCTATATCTATTCCTTATACTATTGCTAATACATAAATACATAAGCTACCAAAAAGAAGAGAATTCTGAGTATCAATAACAAGTTTTAAAGATATCCAATTCAAAATGAACACTTTGTATGACAAGGTAATGAACGCCATCATTTTGGGAGAACTGAGCGAAGAAAGACCTAAACACAATTTACTCCACTCAAAGCCAACTCAATATAACTCCCGTTCCCTCTCTCCGACTGTATGAATCGCCTGTTCACAAAGCCAAAGTTCTCAAGCGACCAGTAGTCGACATTACTTCCTTGACTTTTCAGTCTGCCGCAAAATGGATAGTTGGAAATCTCGGACCGATAAGCAAAGAATTAGCTATTTATGTAATGAGTACGTTTAACTTCGTTAAACTAATGAAAACTTAAACATCTGTTTTGCCTGTGTCGTGTAATGTGATGTTTGGTCAATAAACTTTCCGGCGTAGTGTAGTCTACCCTGACGGCCGTATGTCCAATCAACTGCGCCTATAACTGCATTACTTTCATATAGTTATATATATCAGAAACTTTCCGGATGTCATGTGAAAGAAAGAAAGGATCCCAATTTCGACACCTAAGCGGAGAGGAGGGGGTTCCCAGCTGACACTTCGCAGTAATTCTGGGAATAGCATCGAACGCACAAGCAATAGTATAGCGACAGTTTTTAACTAACAATTTTATCTGCATCGTTGTTCCTGGAATTTATGGTTTGCACCCAAATTATCCCGCTGTATTTGCTAGGCTTTTACCCATCTGCCCATGGTGCGCTACGCTTCCACTGTTTTATCGTTCTTTCTCCGGAAACGAAACATGTGATTGTTGTTACCATCATTCCTTTGGGTACGTAGTCCTGGAAAACAGTAGTGGCTTTGCGCACATACTACTGTATTTATAGTCCATTCTGCTTCTCTGCACTGACAAAAGTTACTGCCGCGTCATTCATGCTACCTTCAGCGAATGTGGCATTGCCAGTGCCACAGTTACCCTTATAAGCTTTACTGCCTGATCAACATCATGTTCCGCTCCTTTCTTCTTAGCTGAGCCCTTAGGGCCTTGTTTAGCGTACAAGGACAGCATGCTGTTCATTTCAATGTTTGACAGACCTACCGCTCCTACCTCAAGCTTACCAAAGCTGCACAGCGTAGTCCTGAGTGCTGCGCACACTGCATGCTCTTAAAATCGAAATAAATAGAACACTGCACGTTTGCCGCCTTAGCGTTCAAAACCTTTATTAGAGTTCTCAACTGGCATGTCGTAACACTGTCGGCCCGTAGCCTAGAAGTAACCAGCTTGTCTCACAATCTTGCGGCGCGGTTTCGAATACGCGTAGGTGTGGGTTTCCTCGCAGTATACTCGGCCATCGTGCGACTGATGGTGGTCTCACGGCATCGAAACGCCGTTACAAGACAAGTCAAATAAAGCTTTATGTATCCAGATGGGTACATTTTCAGCACGTTACAATATCGACAACAGATCAGCTACATTTACATTATCAAACATAAATTTGTAGGAATGTATAATAGGAGTGGAGAATAGGACACTTCCTAGAAGTGTCACTGTAATACACCATCAGTGTAAAAGAGTAACAATTAAGCATTTCCGGACAAAATAATTTAAAGCTAGCGTTGTAAGCTAGACTTTCAATTGGGACCGTCAATCTTCGCATGCGTAGTATCTTGAATTTTTCTCAAAGATTACGCGGACGACAGCAACGGTGACCCTGAAAATAGCTTGACGAGTATCCACGTTGAAATATTCTGCGAACACTAATGCATCCATAGCGACATTGTAAAAATGATGTTCAGTGGCAACGGCACAGCCGATTTAAATTACCCGCCCACGGCGTACAGCTGACGCAATGTTTATTTTTATGTCGTAATACTGCTATCTCACTAACAATAAAGCGTATGTGAAGCAACCTTGTTAACTCATCACGCTCCAGCCTCCAGAGGAGAGCCACTGCCCAAATTTTCTTTGCAGCTACATTTGCGTTTAATTAGAGACGGCGAAAGTAGCTTTCAACGCAGGTAATCGACAAACTTGCCCATCGATCGACTAATTTGAACCGTGTGTAACAAAGTAGGCTAGTAGGCAGTTGGAAAGTCACCTGCCGCCATGTCAAGCGCGAATACGATGTCGGATGGAAAACCAAGGTTCGCGTTGCAGCAAATTCCAAAACAACTTTTGTCTGTGATCAAAAAGCGACCCATTACTTCTCTGTTAGCCTCACTGACCACTGTGGGAGGAGTTGTCATATATAGTCAAGGCGTTCAACTTCCATCATGGCTAAAAGAAGTTACTTTCAAGTGGGACAAAGTACCAAGACTTGAGCATTATTTATTCAAAGAATGGCATGCCGCCTTAGATGGAAGTCCGTTTTCACAGCTTGTCCCTATGCGCTACGGTGGTTTGATGGGATTTCCCTATAAGAAGGAAGAGGCCGATAGGACGGATAAACACTCAACCGACAATGAAGTACCAAGCTGCAAATTTTCCATTTAATTTCACATTTTGATGGTTTTCGTAACTCTTTTAAACCGAGAGATAAGCTCTCGGTTATTAAGTTTTATTATCAAACTACTTTGATTCTTTGGTCATTAATTAATATCATTTCATTGCCCGCGCCAGTAAAAGGTTTTTGACTTATTGGGGACGAGTATTGTTGGTTCCATTTGTGGTGGACTGAGATATTGCAAACTCGATGCCAGTGATTATGATGATAGACTTCAAATGAGGCACATCCTATTCCATCTCAAGTTACCTACATAAATCCGTTTTCGCTTGATAAATTTGAGTGATTCGCTAGTTACAATGGAGATCATGGGGAAGCTAGACCCTCCCAAGAACGAGCAAAGTGTGCATCAATAGAATGAGATTACAGTTTCAAGGGTTTCACGGGTTTCACGGGTTTGCGCAGAACGAGTAAGCGTAGCTTTTCAGTGGTTCTGCCTCGGGATCTTACGGCAAGGTCCTGAGCTCGTCGGTAGGTACCAGATGTTGTGGGTCTCGACGCAGTAGTGGTGTTCAGCACAAGTATTCAGCGAATTGACTGTGGGAACGTGGATACCTGGAACAAGAGAGTGGTGTAGGTAAATTCGGCAAAGTTGGATAGAAGCAAAATGATAGAAGCGCCGCGTGTTAGCTTGGCAAATGGCCAGATCTTAGCAACGTGGAAGACCAGCGAGGTAAGAGCCAAGCGTCTAGGCGCTGTTTGAAGGCCTCCGTATTGGGCGCTGAGACAGCAACTTCAGGGAGGGCGTTCCAAGCGAAGGCAATACGCACACTGAAACTGTTTCTTTGGCACAGAAGGCGACTGCTACGAGTCATCAGTTTGAGTGAGTGCCCTCGAAGATGATCTGTACGGGCGCGGACCAGCAATCCTGCGTTTGGGTGCCTGTTATTAGTCAGGACGGAATAAGCTAAGATAAGGTCGCCACGAAGCCTGCGATATTTCGATATTTGTGATGTGAACTGACTCCTCTAATTAAGTGAAACTTTTAAAGGCAAGTTGGGGGCAACAAATTAGATAAATTCGTAGCTTCGTCGGCTAAAACTGTGAAATCTGTTTTCTTTGAGAAAAGTGAACGTTAAACCACCAAGACATGTACTGCGTTCGGCTGCATTTTCGTTTAATGAGAATAAGTGTAATATTTCGCACATACCGTCGAACAGATAACCGATAGAGATGACGTCCTCTGAAAAGTACTGACAGGTCTGAAAAGGAAAAACCATCCTCATCAACTAGAGGGAACGGCCTATTACGCTGACCCTTAGTGGGGATCAGGAAGAAGTCGTTCGGAAATTCAAGTATATATATATATATATATATATATATATATATATATATTCAAGACTGCAAACAGACAAATCTGCCATCTGAACCATGGTGGTAGAGAAAGAAGAACATAAGGTTCAACGAGGAGAGCGAGGGTAAAACGTTAGACATATTTTATTCGGTTTTACACACGTCATTTTGAGTTTGCTTGTTTTTTGTTCTCGTGTTTTGTTCAAAATTAAAAAAATACGTGATATAGTGATGGTAAAACAGCATTGATGCCATTGACTCCTACTGCGGGCCAAATCCTCCAATTACCTAGGCAGTGATGTCAGCGCCAGTGGAATCGAAGGCAAGGTCACGAACCGTATAGAAACAGCTCGAGGCTTTTTTAAAATTACTTTTCGCTATTTATGGCGCCGGCGCGACATCACTCTGGTTGTTAAACCTGACCAATTAGATCGGTAGACGTAAAGAGTCTAGTTACCTTCGACCACTGGTGCCTTCGCAATTTGACTCGTACCTGATGGGAATACCTCGTGGGCAATGGGCGTGTACAGCTCCTTTTTTATAGCCCAAGAAGAGGAAGTGAATTGCTCAGCAGCGTTATATCACGCACCAGGCTCCGATGGTTGGGCCACATGTTACTTATCTCAACATAGCGACGCACACGATATGCGTTGCTTGCCCGCCGGGGAGATGGATGGAAAAGAAGAGGAGGGACCAGGCGATGACTTGGTCAAAAGGAATGAAAGCGTTTAGTTCGAAATTAACCTCGGTTGGAGCAGCTTGAACCCCTAATTGGGGTCCGAAGCTGGATGAACACATTTGGCTGGATGTACTTGTTGACAGCGCTAGAAGTCGACAATAGTGTCGTATACGTTGTGATTTTCTTCGCCATTATTGTGACGGCTGACACTGCTAACCGCAAACCTCTCAGAACGGAAGCAAGAACGCACCGCGTGAGGACGGGTCTTCTTGAAAACTAAGATGCGTAAGCAAACCGAATACACCAAGAGCAATAAATGCATGAGTTAGCCAAGTGAACGGACATAAGCAACCAAAGGTATACTGTCCAACTGTGAACGAATATCATGCGTTAGTCTGTTTAATATTTCTTCTCCATCCAACCACCTTCTCGATTTTAGCACACTACATAAGCTAAATTTGCGGCACCATAAGCTGCTACTAGCTCCCCAGAATACAGTCTATCCGTTACCGTTGACTCAACTGGTTTGCCCGTGTTGCGTCATTTTTCCTTTCTCATCTACTGCGACACTATAGCTGTGTTGTTTTCCACCTCTAGTCAACGTTTGTGAAGAGGATGATGTTGCTGTTGATGATGATAATGATGATGATGATGATGATGATGATGATGATGATGATGATGATGATGATGATGATGATGATGATGATGATGATGATGATGATGATGATGATGATGATGATGATGATGATGATGATGATGATGATGATGTTGATGATGATGATGATGATGATGATGATGATGATGATGATGATGATGATGATGATGATGATGATGATGATGATGATGATGATGATGATGATGATGATGATGATGACGATGATGATGACGACGATGATGATGATGATGATGATGATGATGATGATGATGATGATGATGATGATGATGATGATGATGATGATGAAAAGTATTGGACAAACCGATCATAATTGTGATATGGAAAAATGCGGTCTCACTGACTGTGTTGGTCACAACGGTATCAGGCTGAAGAGTGCATTGACAAGTCTAACGAACTCACTTCTTATCCGTCACCTCAATGTTGAAATATACTTCCTGATGGGCGAAGGGCAGGTAATTCTCCGCCCAGGTCGGGGCTGTATAGACCATGTCCCCACTTCGTGATAAATGATAGAACTGTGTCATCCCTACCGTAGACCGACAATTGCTGTCTTCCTTGATTGCAAGAGTGTATTACACTGTGTTGATTCCGTCATCTTACGCGGGGCTTACGTGCTGTCTGAAGCTTGCATTTTCCAACAAATTTTCAACGTACATGGGGGACCTAGTGTGAAGTAAAACATTCAGGCCTGGCAAACGTGCCTGAAAAGAAATCCGGCTGCATTCGAGACTCAACCAAAAATATGCTCACCTTCTTCTATCTACCATACCAACTGCAACTAAAAGCCCCAATGTAGCAAGGTCGAAGCGTCAAGAAATCATATGCTTTCTTGCAGGCAACGACGGTTAAACAAGCAGTCACACAACCACACATATATCCGTCATGTTTCCGTCCCACAACGCAGCATTGATGTGTCGTTTCTCCCCAACTTAAAGGATCCTGGTTGCTTGCTTCACTCCTTATCTTCGCCTCCGTAGACCGCAGTTTGACCAGCCTGGATTTGTTCTAAGGCTCTAGGTCTGCTTAATCGCGGTAGCATTATTCGGCTTGGGGTTACTCCTGGATGGACCAACAAACGTTTCTGTCTGATTTACTGACTTTGAACAAATAGCTTCTCTGTTCTCCTTTGCTCAGGGACGCTATCGTTCGTCTCTAGCCATGAGCTCTCCGCTCTTTCTGTAGGGCTTGCTTTGCGGTGTCTGACCTCGTCCATGGTGTATGCGCCTGTTGTGGTCCTGGCTCGTCCTAGTGAATTCGCAGCCTTCTGAGTGATCATTACCTTCAGCGCCATTGCACTACCAGTTTACAACGAAAGGTAACGCCGTCTACAAGGAAACCTCACTTTGACGTATCAGCTCTCAATATACATCGATCACCTTTACTACCCACTGCGACATCCGCAACTGGAAAATTAGGAGCTGCCAGATGAAACTAGAGGCCCGAAAGAAGCAGGTGGAATGCTGCCGGATGGTTTGTCCCTTTAGTTATGTGGAACGAACCCCCGATCATCGTTATTTCTACGCTCACGCCATTTTTAAGCAATCAGACGACGCTTGACAATATTTGCCCCACGTCTCATGACTCCTGCTCATCGAATGCCAACGTGACGCAAATGTTTTGCTCACCAGCCGCCAAGAAATCGTGGTAGACGGATTCACATGTGCGCTAACATGTATAATATGATAGGTCAGCAAATGCACGGTTTACCTTGCTGACACATTTTTGTCTTTAAGCTTATCTAGTTCATACAGACCATCCCACGGGGGTCATGACTCCTTAATATTTTTACCCGTATTCTGCCACTGTTCCAAATTTTTCGATAGAACTGTTCGGGATTGTTCTCATCAAGTTTATGAACAGTCGTGCCCTACACTAGAACAGCTTTAGTCCAGAGTCAACCAAACGCAAGCTTGTCACGAGCAAAGGGAAGAAGGTTAGGTGGATACTGTAGAACTAATGCTGCCGAGCATAACTCAAAGGGAACGTGGCCGTACACAAAACAAAAGTGGATCAGAACAACCTAAGTTTTTGAACCAAGGAATATGGATGGACGTTGAATGGACAAGTGACTGATATGAGGCCGCAACTAAGCAGCGCCCTAATTTAGGTACAATATAAATGAGGTTTCCTGGGCAGCTACGTGTCAAGAAAGTACTATGGCGCGCTCATTAAATGCAATTACTGCACCGGCCTGACTCTCAGCTTGGCGTGAATATGCCCTGTAAAATATCAGACAACTACGTAGATTCATGCCCGTATGTGTTGTGTGGACATAGAGCTATTGCGTTATTCAGGTCCAAGAAAAGGGTTCACTTAGGGAACCCCACTTTAGAGCTTTATGT